TAAAGCGCCCGTACGCGGCACCCAGCCGTACGCGGGTGATATTAAAACGGAAGGATCGCACATATTCTCGAAGTTTCAGCCTTCTATCTTCCTCTGGTTCACGAGTTGAAAGTAGGTAGAAAAAAGCGCGAACACATACAGAAAGACAGCCTCTTGCCAACACATGTTTTGCATTTGCATATATGCAAAAACGCATAAAAATTTAACAAATTACTAAACATACGCGCAAAAATCACCATAATTTTTGCATTCCTTAAAATGTTCTTGCTGGATAATGAAAACTTCAATAATACCAAAAATCATCAAACATCAGAATTGGAATGTGGCACTATCCTGCATTACTACGGTCGAGTTTCACAAACTATATATATATGCAAATACTTATAGAAACGTACATGCAACATCCAATTTTTGTAGACAGAAGTCAAAACACAGCTTGGTTCAAAACTTCATTTCAGTCAGTTATTCTGTGTCATGGGCAATCTACTCAAGCTTCAGCGCCTTAACTGCTTAATTTGTCTCGTTCAAAAGTTAATCAGTGCAAGTATGGGCTCGATGAATAAAAGAAAAAAATTATCACTGGCGACGCGCACTGGGCGGGCCCGAGCGATCATGCGTTTTTGCAGTGTTTCGTTCTGCAACAAGATCACCCGAAATTCCGGTAGCTAGAAACCTCTGACATACAGACTTTCGAATTTCGGAAGTTAATTGTCCACGACTTGGACAGGGAATATTCCCTTGAAATCCCAGGCACCCAGCTTTCCCAGTTCCAGAGTTACCCAAATTCCAGCCAGAAAATTCCACGAAGCCGTACGTGGCAACTACGCATGACTAGGGGCTGGATTTGAAGAACTTAAGTTGTAGATGAGTTAGGAACATTTCCTGAAAGTTTCAGCCTCCCAGCTCCCCTAGTCCCAGGGTTAGCCATTTTCCCGCCAAAAATTTTCACCGGGTCGTACGTGATACCACGCATAACTGGGGGCTGAATTTGATAGATTTAAGTTGTAGATAAGCTGGGAACATTCGTTGAAAGTCTCAGCTCCCCAGCTCTCTTGTTTCCTGAGCTAGTGGATTTCGCGCCAGGAACCCTCACGGGGCCATACGCGCGAAACGCGCGCACCTGGGGGCTGAATTTAAAATCTTTGAGTTCTATATTGACGGGGAACATAATCCCAAAATTTCAGCTTTCTATTTTTACTGGTTCTCAAGTTAGCGATTCTCCCATCAAAGCTTTGAGGCGCTCGTACGCGGGGCCTGGACGTGCGTGAGGACTGGTACCGCGGTCCTGGGGTGGCACTTGACCGGGGAACCCACTCGCAAAATTTTGACGCCAAAGCTTGCTTGGGTACCGAGTTGATATACCCGAACAGATACGCACACACGCACACCGGGGTCGTCGCAATATGCGTTTTCGCATTTGCATGCATGCAAAAACGCATAAAAAGCTTGACTGCACGCTGTTTGCCCTAAATTGGGCGCTAAATAATCAATCATACAAATAGTGTGAGGGAGCAATGTCAGTATTTTGTCACTGGGATGAACTCGCATGAATGGCGCAACCGCGCCAGTCCCATCGTCCCGGGCTGCGCTGACTTGAATCCACATAAGCGTGATTCTGAACGGCACTGTTTGCAGGTCTCAGCATGATCGAAAATAAGGCTGTTCCGAGAGGGACAAGGTGCTAATGGCAAGGAAACAAAGCTGCCGGCCAAACCCTTTCGCCCTGCCCAGCTGCCCTTCCATTCCATGCGTTATGTAAATGTCCCAACTCTTGATCCAAGTTCCCTCTCCGTGATATTTTATACGGTGATTAGAAATGAAATGGGAATTGTTTTGTGGCACCAAAGAATTGTGCGACGGCAGCATGGAGCTACTGCCGCTCTTCCGCTCCCATCCTCCTGTACTGCATGGTGACAGTTTTGGAACTGCTGCCGAACTCCTAGCAGTTTGCTTTTCTAATCTTTTATGCGTTTTTGCCGTGCAGCGCTAGAACGCTGTAAAAAGCAGCAAAAACGCATATTGCAACGATCTTGTCAGTGTGTGTGTGTGTGTGTGTGTGTGTGCGTGTGCGTGCATGTGTGCGTGCGTGTGTGTGTGTGTTCGTCTGCCTGGGTATTTCAACTCGCTAACAACGCAAGCTTTGAAGCTGAAATTTTGCCAGTGTGTTCCCCAGCCAGGTACCACGCCAGGATCGCGGTTCCAACCCTCACTTACGTCTGGGCCCCGCGTACAAGCACGTGAAAGTTTTGGCGCGAAAATTGCTAACTCGGGGACGAGA